GGGCCCGGGCCGTCGCGGGGGCCAGGCGCTGCGGCCGTCCTGAGGGTGCCGCCCCTCCAGGGCCTCCCTGGGGTTCAGGCGCAGCGTGACCGGGATGACGGGCAGCAGGCTGATGTACCTGGGAGCCGGCGGGGGGGGGGGGTTGTCAGCGGGGTGCCTGCAGAAGGGCCCCTCCCCACTTCCCACTGGGACTGGCTCAACCTGCTCCACTCCAAGCCCACCCTCTGGGAACAGGCTTCCCAGCACTGGGGGGTGCAGAGCCAAGGCCCTCCCGCCCAGCCCGGACACCCAGCCTTGCTCTGTGATGCGCACCCAGCGCCCGGGGAGACACCACTGCATGCGGGCTGCCTCCGCCGCCCGTCCTGGCACAGACTGGGTGCCGGCCAGCGGGCTGATCTCCTTCGGGCTGAGGGGCTGGCAGCGACCTGTGACTTCCCAGGGCTGGGCCCAGGGCGACTGTCTTGGGCTGTGGCCGCCTGGAGCACTGGTTCCTACCTCACAACCCTATGGGTGTTTCTTTGGAAGGAAATGCAGAATTCAAAGCAATGGGTCTCCCGCCTGAGGGGGAAGGGACGCTCTGGGGACGAAGAGCTGACACCAAGCGGGAAGGCAGCAGCTGGCACAGCCCACTCACCTCTTGGCCAGCGTGATGTTGTAGTAGCTGAAGAGCGTAGGCCAGTGGCGGAAGGACAGCTTCCTCCAGAGTTCCTCATCCTCGGGCCCCCACGTTACCTCCGGGACAGGGCTGTCATGGGCGCCCTCTGCTGGGCCCCCAGGCTCAGGCGGCTCTCCAGGCAACGTCTGGTTGTCCGGTAACTTAGGGGCATCAGGCGGGAAGATGGAGAAGGCAGGGTCCGGGTGGCTGGCGGGCAGCACGCCACTAGGCACAGGCATGGGAGTCAGGGCGCCCTCGCCCAGCGGGCTCTGTTCTGTCACCTGGGCAGCAAGGTAGGTGCGCAGCCCTGCTGGGTCTGTATACACCAGGATGCCGATCCAGATGACGGTGCCGGCCTGCAGAGGGGCAGTGGGTGCTCAGCGGGGCCTCTGGGTGCTCAGCAGCCTTGGCCCTCGTGCTGGAAGGAAGCAGCACGGGGACCTCAGGCCTGGGGGTGGGGAGAAGACACAGGCCCCAATCTGTCCTCCCTTCTGCCTCTCCAAGTCCTCCCACTACCACCTGGGCCAATTGCCATTGGAGGGACCTAGTTCCCTTTTCATGGTCATGGTTTGGGGTTCCCGGCCTAGAAATACAAAGCGCACCTTTAGCACTTCCCCAATCCCCATCTATCAGCTGGGGCCAGAAAGCAGGCACCATTCCCACGGACAGCATGGCCAGAGGGACCGGCTAACTGACCTGCTCCAGAGTCAGACCTGCCCACAGGTCCCCCCCCAGTCCTCAGGGGGCCTCAGTCTCGCTCCCTCTCCCTGCAGCTCCATGGGGGCGCCACTGCTGGCCAGGAGCCAGCCCTGCTCCTCCCTTTCCGCCCAGCCCAGCAAGTGAATGATTCAGCCAGCATTTTCTGACTCCTGCACACTGTGTCGCAGGGGAACCCTGACTTGGGGAACCAAGGTAGTTCCACCCTGGAGCACCCCATCAACCAGGCTCGTGTCCTGGGTCCCTCTAGGGAGATGATGACTCTTCTACCCCATGCTCCTGGGGCTGCTTCTCCCAGGGATAGGCTTATCAGCTCAGAAGCCACCAGGATCTGGGCAGGAGGGTATGGTGGGCGGCTTCCCAAAGCCAGGCTCCCTGGGGCCATGAGGGCCTGAGGAACATTTCCCACCTCCAAGGCAAAGTGCAAAAGTCCAGAGGGAACGGAGTGCTGGCCCTCAGAGGGCAGGGCAGGGGTGGCAGGTACCATGATAAGGCGCTGTGCCAGGCGGGTGCGGGCCAGGAAGTAGATGACGCGCAGCCTCTTGGGGAGCCGCAGATTTCGGAAGGAGGACGGTTGCAGTGTGATGGTGTGGGGTGTGGAGGGCCGCACAGCCAGCTGCCGCTCGAAGCGTGCTGGCCGCCCCACTGGTTTTGCTGGGGGCAGGCAGGCCTCCGAGGGCAGCCGCTTGTTCAGGTCCGCTAGCTGTGTGTGTGGCGGGGAGGGGCACAGTGGTCAGGGCTCGAGGCTGCTGTCCAGCGGCTGCCCACGACCGAGATCTGCACCACTCTCACCCCGAGATGCCCTGAGGCTGGCCAGGGAGGGAGGTGGGGGCAGGGTACAGCGCACTCCTACCTCCATCCGGCGAATGTCAATGGAAAGGACAGTGGTGAAAAACAGCATCTGAAGGAAGAAGTCCGACACCAGGCCCACAACGGCAAAGAGACAGAACTCCTGGAATTAGAGCAGATGAGGGGACACGATGACATCACGGCCCAGCACCTGAGAAGCAGGCACTTCAAAATCTGCAGGACAGTGGCGGGCAGAGCCCAGCAGAGAGAAAAAGTTCTGAGTCTGGGAGCAGCCAAGGTTGGGGGGGAGGGCGGCCCCCACCAGGGGGCAGCAGAGACTCCCCCACTCACCTTGATCCAGAGAAGGTGGAAGGGTGGGTGCTCTCCCTAAACCTTCCAATCCCCCTAGAGAGGAGGGCGTGATCCCACCTGAAAAGCTCTGAGCCCCACCATCCCGCTCCCCGCAAAGCTCTCCCCCACTGATCCTTGGGCCCTGCTTAAGTCCTGTGACCAATGCCTACTTAGAGCCCACGACTGACCCAATGTCAGGACTCAGACAGCTTCCTGGCCAGTGACTGCACAGAACCAAAGGAGGGAGAGAGGGCAGGAGGGAATTAATTTCTGCCCTGAAACTGAATACGGGTAGTGTCTCTGCTCCCCAAGCTCTATCAACAGATGGAATCTCCTCAGATTTCAGTTTTCCTCCCCTGCCCTTCACCACAGCTTCCACTCACATCTGGGGTAAGATGAAGGACCCAGCTCGTGGTGGCACAGGGGTCATGGCAGCTCTACTGTCCCAAGGTGGCACTGTGTCCTGCAGATGCCCTCTGGGTCACCCTATGTTCTCTGCTCACCCCCACAACTCAGCAGGCCTGCCAGCTCTAGGGGAAGGCAGAGGAGGACAAGATGCATGGCTCCCTTCCTGCAACCCCTCAAGCAGTGGTCAGCAAGTCTGCACTCTGACTCAGCGTAGGTCCCCTCCGGCTGCTCGTAGCCCCACAGCTGCGTGGGGGCACTTGGCCAAGACCAGGAGCCACTCGGAGCAGTGGCCCTCCACTGGGGGGAGGGGTGTGGTATGTCTGGAGGCTGCAGATGTGGGTCAGGGCTAAGCCTAGGAAGGAGGAAGGGACCAGTGCAGGGGCCCCACAGGGCTTGTGCCTGAGAAATGAGAAAACAGGTCTGGCTGGAACTGGGTGAGAACTTCTGAACCAGGCCTGCCAGGAGCACTCTGTGCATGGAACACCATCTTGGCAGCAGAGGTCCCAATGCAAGGGTGTCTGCGTTGAGAGGGGTACACCCCCCACACAGCAAGGGAGCTGAGCAGCTGGCTCCACACTCACCCAAGGGGCAGGCCTTGGGGCCTTACCTGGATGGCGGGCACCAGGGTGAAGTAGCCAATGAGGATGATGCCCAGCTCCGTGGCCATGTTCTTCATGATGGACCAGCTCTCACTGCTTAGGCCTGCAGAGGACAAGAGGGCCATGGGGCCAGCACATGGGAAGGGTGCCCAGCCTTCTGAGGCAGCCATTCCACCACAGTGGCCCAGTGCTCAGGACTCTGCCAGCGCCCAGGCTCCAGGTGTTGCCACCACCGCAGAGCTGTCGCGGGAAGGGGCTGGAGAGTACAGAGGAGAGCTACAACCACCATCAGAGGAAGGGAGAAGCAGGGTGGTAAGATGAGCAAATCCAAGGGGAAAGCCGAGGGCCACCCACTCTAGCACATTCGGCCTCCATGTACCGTTCAGTCTGGTCTGCACGGGCCTGCCCACGCATGGCAGAAGGCCCGAGCGATGGAAGTGCTAGCTGTGTTCTTCCTCCAGCCCGGCCCCAGAGCAAGCCCTGCTGGGTAAGGGGCCACGGCCCCTCGTGTCCTCGGAGCCCCCCATCTAGGGCAGGGCCTGGCCTCTCACAGAAGCTCATGAAGGCTTGTCCAGTGAGCGAACAGCCTGCCCTCGGCCCTGTTCCCACAGACTGGGGGTTAGGAGGAGGAAGCGCAAGAGTTCAGACTTCTGGGTCTAGGCTCTCTGCCCACTCTCCTCAGCATCCCGATCCCCACCTCCTGGCACTGAGGCCCAGGGGCCCTTTGTGGCAGCTGTGGAGGCAGCGTCTCTGAAGGGACCAGCCGTAGGAGCCTGGGCCGAGTGCGGGAGGGTGAGGCGGGAAGAGAAAGCACCAGGTGCCAGTGTGGACGAAGGGCCACTGAACACGAGCCCTGGAGCAGAGTTCAGCTGTGTTCTTACTGACACATGAAACAAGACAAAGTCCAGTCCAGCAGTTCTGTGGTTCCTCAGGGCATGCGCTAACAAGCCCCCAGGGCCTGATGGTCCACATCACGTTACACTAGAGGTCAGAGCAAGGGCGATTTCTGGGGCCCTGTCTCCTCCACAGCAGGAAGCCCAGCACAGAAGGCCCCCCAGCAACCCCCGCCAGCCACGTTACCTTGGGCGATGCGCAGCTTCACCTCCAGGTCCACCGGGGTCGAGACCACTGACTTGGTGAGCACCAACACGTTCTCTAACCCAATAACCACCACAAGGTAGGGGAAAATCTCGCTGGGGACAGAGAGGGAGAAGGTGAGGACAGTGCTGAGGAGGGCCCCCAACACATGCTGGTTCTCCACAGGTTTGGGCCCCGGGAAGACTGTGGGGTTTGCGGCCTCTAGTGGGAAGCTGCTGAGTGACTTCCAGAAGCACAGGGCAGAGCCCCAGCCTCCTCCACCCTACCACACAGGGCCTCTGCCTGCACAGCTCCCAGCTTTCAGGCAGGCCTGGAAGCCCGGCCAAGGGGTCAGCAAGCATCCCGGCCTCCATGTACGCAGCACACAGTGGCTGCCAGAGCACCGCTCTCCCTGTCCCTCCCACACCGGACTCTGCTGGACAGAGCAAATGGCCGGGAGCCCTCAGCAGCACTGCAGGCCAAGCCGTCGGGACTAAGTAGACGGGGGATGAGAGGAGCCTCTGCGGAGGCCGTGTGGAGAACTACTAGCTCTCCAGGGCCCACTTGAGGCCCGCACTACCGGTGAGGACTATGAGAGACAAGGCACACCGGCTGAGGTGTACCTGCCGGGATCCCTGCTGCGGGCTCTGAGGAGGGCACAACAGCCCCGGGGGAGGGGGTGTCAGCCCCGTTGGGTTCAGGAAAGGAAGCAAGTGTTCCACGAGCAAGGGAAGTAACAGAAGACACAGCATCGCTACTCCCGCAACCAGCCCAGCCAGCCCCGGTAGGGGATGGGCCAGGCGCTCAGCGACCACTAACGGCCAGGCCAAGGGCGGGCAGGGGGTGGGTGTAGCCAGAGCCGGGGAGACCGAAGACAAACATGGGCCGGGGCTTCCAGCCCAAAAGTTGGAGAGAAATGGCAAGAGAAAGCACACATCAATGGAAAGGTGGAAAATTAGAGTGTGCTTGTGTCTTTTAAAAAAACCCCGAAATGACCTATTTTATTAGTCATTTAAATGTTTTAGTAGTAAAAAAGGGAAGAAATATACCTTTTTTTTTTTTAAGATTTTATTTATTTATTTGACAGAGAATGAGAGAGAGCACAAGTAGGCAGAGTGGCAGGCAGAGGGAGAGGGAGAAGCAGGCTCTCCGCTGAGCAGGGAGCCAGACTCGATCCGGCTCGATCCCAGGACCCTGGGACCATGACCTGAGCCGAAGGCAGCCGCTCAACCGACTGAGCCACTCAGGTGCCCCGAAATGTACCTTTCTTAACCTCCTACCCATCTGTGCCTTAAACCATCAAGGAGCAGTATGCGTGTGTATATATATGAACACACATGCACGTCCACATCCACTTACAGACACACACACACGAAGGACAAGGCCACACGTGTGCAGAAACCCACTTATATACACACATACAACCCCACCTGTATACGTGTTATATGTATACACAGATGTACTATACATACATGAGTATGAATGCAAGCCAGGTAAGTTAAAGGTAAAAAAATGTACCTCTTAAATGTCAAGATAACAACGCGAAGATACAAGGTACCAGCAAGCATCCAGTCCCGGGCAAGCCCAGAGGCTCTCCGGTCTGAAGCTCGGTGGAGCCTGGTGGGGACCTACCCGCCGTTGAGGGTGGGTGTCAGGCCGAAGAGTGTGCAGAGCCCCACGGACATGAGCAGCGAGCTGAGCACTGTGACCACGGCAGCCAGAGCGAGCCCCCACTTGGACTTGACCATGTCGATCTTGCCTGGAGGGCAGAGAGGGCACATCAGGGCGGCATCTCCCCCAGACCCTGACACACCCCGGCCCTTTGGGGTTTATTTCCCAGGAGTAGAGTGAGGAAGGGGTGGCCCCTGGTTTAACCCAAGAAAAGGACAGCCACACAAACTTCCCAGTCTCAGAGAAATGGTGTCTTTTGGGAACCCTAACCCAAGAAGGGTCTTTTCCTGAGAAGCCAGAGAAGGCCTGGACCCACCCAAGCCTGAGACTCTGCTGGAGGATGAAGCCCTGGCTTTTGTGACCGCTGGGCATGTCTGACATCTCTGCCCAAGCCACCTCCAGAAGCAGGGAGGCAGGTGGTCCGGAATGCCCATTTGGCTTGGAGAAAGCCCCAGCCTCCGTGCTGTGCACCTACGTGTGGAGAAGTAGATGTAGGCAAACAAGATGATGTAGGTGGTCACGAGGGGGATGAGTTCGGCGATGCCAATCTCCTCCTTGAAGTGCACGTGGACCAGGCTCTCCGCCCGCAGGCTGCAGTTGGGGCTGGGGTGCAAGAGCATCAGGCGGGCCCGCAGGCTGCCCAGGAACCTGCTCATGGAGTGGAGTGGGGTGGGGTGGATGAACTGTCCCTCTTGGGCCAGGGGCAGAGACAATCCCTGGAAGGAAGGCCAATCAGGGCTGCCCTCCTTCCCATGTTGGAGGAAGCTTTTCTGTGGTGTCTGAGCTTCCCCACAATCTCCAAGGGGCTTTGGAAGAATGACAAAGTTGTCTCAGGAGCTCCCCCAGCCCCTTCCTCAACACCCCTTTCCTGACCCATCATAGCACTCTTGAGTGCCCCAGGCCCAGACAGCCAATTGGAGGCATCTCCGGTCCTCTCTGCCTTGGTAGGGAGCTGCCAGCAGCACTTTGCTGGGAAGGCCTGAGGCCACATCGGGCTCAGGAGTCACCAGCTGGGGACTCCTACCAGAGGCTCAAGAAAGATCAGTGGAAGCACCAGGACACTGAATTTGCCTTAGTCCCCTATTCTTTTTTTTTTATTTTTTAAATTCAATTATCCAACGTATAGTTAGTCCCTTATTCTTAACTAGGCCAGGTCACGTCATCCCCGCTCAAATGTGAAAACACAGCATCCTTCAGTCTAAGGGAAATAAACATTTCAACTGGAGGCCTGAAAACTGCAAGTTCCCAGGGGGCGTTCTGGGCACCCTAAACCAGAGTGGGGACTACTGCCATTCCACAGCCCAGCCAGGAGCCCCGAGCGCCGACGGCCTTACTTGGCATGGTAGCGCTGGAAGACCAGGGTGATGGTGTATGAGACCATCCTCTTCCTGGTGTAGAGGCTCACCCCGCTGTACTTCCCAGGAACACCAAACAGCAAGTCTGCAGACAGAAACCAGCAGTACTGACATACGAAGATAGCCACTGTAGAGCCGCCAAGGACCCCTCCCTACCCCCCACCCTAAGAAACAAGGGGTAACCCCTGATATGCCAGAGCACCCATCAAAGAGGACATGGTGATCAACCTAGGCAACCTGCCCTGGAGGTACCTTTGAGTGTGGCTGAGGTCTGTAGGGTTTTGGGCTCGTGCTGGTGGATGGTCCCGATGATGTCAGGATCAGCATGGAAGCGTTCCCGGTCATTCTGCCAGAAGTTCCCAGGGGACAGCAGCAGGCATCCATGCTCGGGAAGTAGGTTCCGGAGCTTCCTGAGGCCTGGCAGCAGGTCAGTCACCTGCAGGCACACCTCCTCCAGGCCCCTGGTCCCAGAACTGTGCAGGAGATAGCACAAGGCACCTGCTGTGTCCGCGAGCACTCAGCAGGCGCACTGCACTTACTTACGGGGAGAGCCTCTGTCATCAGGTTCCCGGATGCCTGCTATCTCAAAGAGCCTAAGGATTAGGACAGCAGGGGAAAGTTCTCCCAGGTGGTCAACAACCAAACCATGTGGTTGATGGACCTTCACAGTACACGTGCGGCCCCGAGCCTCTCTGAGAAGTGTGTTCTGGGAGCGTGCACAACCTCTCGCCCACTAAGACACCTCAGCCAATTCAGTGGGCAGCTGAATTCAGTGGCAATTCAGTGGGCAGAAAATGAGGGGCTTCATTTCATTCACCAAAACGCGTGTCAAAGCTCTCAGCTAACTAAAATTCCAGCGGGTGAAGCAGCCTGTGAAGCCAGCACACTCCGGAGACCCACGGGGGGCCGGGGGACACCGCCCGGGCTGGGGCTTCAAAAGTGATCCCCAGGTGTAGCGGGCTTCTCCTCAGCCCGACCACAGTCACGTCCACACCTCTGAGCCACCAGGCAGTAAGCCACCTGAGGGGCGAGCAAGCTCGGCACGGGGTCAGCGCAGAGGACACCTACTCTATCTGAGACCTGAGGACGAAACCACCTGCGCCCTCTGAAGAGGTCCAGGGGAGCGCGGCCACAGTGGCCCCACAGGAGGCTGAGGAAGGCAAAGCGAGCTCACCCGCCACTCTTCTCACTTGTTCAATTTCTGCCAAGCTGGCTGGCTCAGTATTGCCCTTCGGGACGGAACAGATTCAGGGAGGCTGGGGTCTCTGAGAGGGATACCTGTCTCTCAGCACGTGGTTCCGGATCTCTTCCACCAACTGGAATGCCCGGGACAGAGGAGAACGGAACACATCCACCGCCAGCAGGTTCTTGTGCCAGGGAGACACCGAGGACTTCACAAATATCTGCTGGATGTAAGCCACGGGGGCGCCCACATACTGCAGAAGAAATAGGGGAGGGGGGAAATGGGCCCACATTCAGTAAGGGTTTACTAAGCATCTACGATGGGCAAAGTGTGTGGGGCCCAAAGGACAGGCCTTCAAAAATGAAGATGTCCACGAGGGGCTTTTTACCATCTATGAACCATTTTCCTAAACACTTCCCAATAGACCAGGGATCGGCAGACTATGGCCACAGGCTCAATCAAGCCCGGCACCTGCTTTTCTAAATACGGTTTTCCTGGAACACAGCCATGCCCACTCCATTCCGTATTGTCTGGGGCTGCTTTCACGAAACAATGGCCGAGGTGAATGTTCACCACAGAGACTATGACCCATGAAGCCTAAAGCACTTACCATCCAGTCATCTATGGGACCGCTCTGCCGCCCTCACAGTGGACCCTAAGCTCCCAATAGGGTGCAGCCTTAGGGATCCTGCCACTTGCAGGTTAGCAGATTTTAAAGATCCAAGGACCCAATTTTAAATCCTGGCTCTCCAATTGTATGGCCTTGGGAACATGCTGGACTTCTCTGGATTTTGGTTTCCTCACTATGAAAGGGGGGTGACTGACATTCACCCTGCAGCATCGAGAATATGCACACACACTCACACACGCCTCCCACCACACGGACCCAGAGACACACATGCATATAAACAGCACATGCAGAGATTAAGTATTAATGGAAATATTAGCAATAAACAGTTGTGGCACATCTTTTCATCGCCCCCCCCGACAGTCCTATGAGAAGGTGACTCCCCAGGCTTTCATGACTCGTGCAGGGGGATGCAAGGACCCAAGCCCGTGTGTCCTCACTGAATGTCACACACTTCTCTCACTAGAACCGGCCATCTGCCCTGGAAGGGCTAACAACAGGCACCTGACCGAAGTATTTAGACATGTAACAGGCATGTCTGAATAACTCCCAGTGATGGAGAGCTCATGGAGCACCCCCAAAATGAGGTACTGGATTAGCCGTGGCAGGATTACAGCCCAGGGAGAAAGTGCGTGGAGCCGTGAGGTGGGGAAGGCCAGGCAGGAGGGGGACGGGGAGGGCCCTTGAGAGCACATCCAGTCCAGAGAGCACAGGGAGTCCTGCCAGGTAATCCCAGAAATCATAGCTAGAATGAGGGGAGGCTGGGAGGATGCCTGACTGAGCAGTCTGGTTTCTCACCAGCTGACAAAGAACAGCCCCGGGAATCTCTGAGAGGAAGGGTGACCAGACGAAAGCAGCCAGCTGGAGGCCGGGCAAGACGGCCGGCGCCATGACGCACGGTGGTGCCGGCTGCAGGGAGCTGCAAGGGCTGTCTCCACGCCTGCGCCACAATCAGGGACTCCCAAGGGCAGGGGAGGACATGAAGGAAGGCCACTCAGCCACTCGATGATGGCCGGATAGGTTATTGCACAAGCGAGGGTCAGGATGCTGAACCGAACAGCAAGTTAAGGCCTCTTGAGCTTAAAGGAACAACCCAAGGCAACCACCTGTGCCTTTGTGAAGTTTACACTTATGAAGCCATGTCTTACAAAGGCTCTGGGGACAGAAGGCCTCACCTGCTTTGTCATTTGCACCGACCTGGCCTGTTAGAAGCTGCCCAGAGGCACAGAGGGATCTGGATGGAACCGGCTGCCGCAGGCTCTGACCTGAACAGCAGCTCATTGGTTCAACTCAGCACACAGGCCTGCGTGGGGGCGGAGCCGTCGCGTACAGCTCTACAAGGAGAGCTGTCCCCGGGGCAATCATCCCCAAACCCTGTGAAGGACGCAGTGTGTCACCCAGGGGCAGCAGGGCATCACAGAGCCTCCAGCCCCAGGTTCGTACCCACTGGCCACAAGGCTGTGTCGCACACACCATCTCCTCTGCCCAGGGCCCTCCTCAGGCCCTCCACCTCTGCCTCCACGCTCAGGCCCACTGAGCCTCTGTGACTGAACCCTTAGTGTCCAGGCGGGAAACTCCTTCTGGCTCCTCGGCCCTCCACTTCTTCTCCAGCCCCCTTCCCACCAGGCACCTTCTCCCCAGCCAGGACCACTCGGGCCACCATCTCAGCAAGTGCTAACAAACATGACTCAGAACCAGAGCCTTCTCCCTGGGCCCTAGGGACGGCTCTAGAAGTTCTGGGAGCACCTTGCTCCCCCAATTTTTAAAGGTTTCTGCCTAGAAGTGTACATATTATGACTACCATCATCATTTTTAGGAGAGAGGATCCATGGCTTTCATCAGATTTTCATAGCAGCACGTAACTAGGTAGCTCTTTCTCGGTTGTCCTTCCACCAGTGCTGGGTAAACCCTCTACTCATTTGTTTGCATGCCCGACCAGCACGGCAAGCCGCACCAGACAAGAACCGGGGAACAGTGATTCCTACTGCACAGCCCTGCTCCCTGGCCTTGGCGGGGCCTCCCTCTGCTGCAGGGCTCCTGATTCACTCTCCCTGATTTCCAAATGAACTTCCCAAGCAGCTATTCCATGTCTTTGCAACTCTTCCAAGGTCTTGGTCCACTCATTTAACAGGTTTGTAGCAAACTTGTCACCCAACACAGGCTCCCTCAACCCCCCTCTTCTGGGCATCAAAATTCCCTCTCCGCGGTTTATTCAACAGGCACGGGCCTGACTCTTGTCATCCACTATCTCAGTCTGGGTTCCCCAGGAGCAGACCCTAAGAGAGGTGGTTTACTTGGGAGGTGCAGAAAGCAGAGAGAGGGGAAAAGGACAAGGAACAAGGGAGGGAAAGCAGACAACAAAGGGTGTTACTGGCCAAGTGACCTCTGTGGGTAATGGGGTTTAGCTGAGTCATCCCACCTGAGGGATTAGAGAGCTCAGCTATTACACGCCCCACCCCGCGGCTACTGCTTGAGGGCTGCTCCTAGGGGACACCAACTCCCCGGCACCTCAGACCTTGCTGCACCTGAGATGCTCTGATACAGGAGATGCAGGGACTGGTAGCCGACAAGCAGGCGGGCAGGCGCTGAAAGGGCAGGGGGGATGTGGCCAGGGCCCCACCACTCCCCGTGCTGGGCGCTATCACAATCGCCACTGGCTATTACTAAGTGGGAGACCGGCATCCGAAGGCAGTGACTGCGGAAGCGTAAGGGCCCGTGGATCCAGATGCCCGCAGACACTGTGCGCAGACTCCTCACTAGACAGAGGTTGTGGCAGGCAGTCTTCTACCACGGCCCCAGTCTCCCCCACCCCCGGTGCTCACGCCCACGTGCAATCCCCCCCGAGAGTGGGCTGTGCCTAGTGACTGGCTTCTGACAGATGACAACAGAAGTAATGACGTCATTTCTGAGATTAGGTTATAGAAGATTATAACCCTTGGGGACGTAATGCTCAGTGAAATAAGCCAGTCACAAAAAAACAAGTACTGTAGAATTCTACTCCTATGAGGTACCTAAAATAGTAAATTTATAGACACAGAAAGAACAACGGTGGTTGCCAGGGCTGGAGGAAGAGGGGGGTTATTAATAGGTATAGGGTTTCTGTTTTACAAGATGAAAAGTTATAGAGATGGATGGTTGTACAACATGAATGTATTTAATATCAGTGAACTATATACCTAAAAAGGGTTTATATGGTAAATTTTATGTTGCATTTTCACACACACACACACACACACACACACACACACACAAGGGCACACAGGCTCGTGCATGTGCACAAGCAACTGAAAGGAAAGAGACTATAATTCTTCCTCTGTCCCCTTCTTCTGGAACCACCACTCTGATGAAGTTAGCCATGTCGTGAACTTCTCTGGAAGGTCCACGAAGCAAGGAACTGAGGGGGCCCTCAGCCAACACACGGTGAGGAGGGGAGCCCCTCAGCTCAACAGCCTGCAAGAAGCCCCTTGCTAGCTGGCCACTGAGTGAGCCTGGAAGCGGATTCTCCCCATTCGGGCTTGGAGATGAGTGCAGCCTTGGCTGATACCTTGAGTGCAGCCTTGGGAGACCCTGAGCTAGAGGTCGCAGATAAGAAAACCAAGCCCAGAGAGATAAAGGATGTGTCCAAGGACAGAGCTGACAGGCAGCTGAGCCAGGATTAAAGCCAGGGCCGCCCAATTCTCAAACCTGTTTTTTCTCAACAGCCAATGTGCCTGGGTGGTGGGGAACCATGCGAGTTCCTGTAGAGAACAGGAAACAGACGGCAAGGCCCACCACGAGCAGTGTAGGAGGGGGGCTGAGGTCCTAGGGATCCCTGGGGTCTCCGGCCACCAGCATTCACAGCATGAGGCGCTGACCAGGGCCCTGTGGAAACCCTGCGTCCAGGCTTAGCCACCACCACGGACACCGCAGTGCCGGCCCAGGAAGCCCAGCCAGCTCTGCGGCTGGCCAGGTCGGGCTTCGTGTGGAGTTCAGGGCTCCTGATGACCCCGTCTAGGGAGCCAGGCCAGTGCAGGAGACCTCAGGCTTGTTTTGTTTTTATTTTTATTTTTTTAAAGATTTATTTGACAGAGAGATAGAGCACAAGTAGGCAGAGCAGCAGGCAGAGGCAGAGGGAGAAGCAGACTTCCCCGCCGAGCAGGGAGCCCGACTCAGGGCTCCATCCCAGGACCCTGGGATCATGACCTGAGCCGAAGGCAGACGCTCAACTGACTGAGCCACCCAGGCGCCCTGTTTTTGTTTTTTTTTTCAATACAGTCCTTCCTCTCCATTCAGATAGAGCAACCTAGAGTTCCCGGGAGTTTACCTTTACACTGACACATCCAGGGGCTCTCTGCAGAACCTGACAGAGGATGCCTGTTACTCAGCAATTCTGAAAACCAGGGCTCCTGATCCTTGTCCTCCAGCCCTGGGCACGTAAGGGGGTGTGGTGGGCGGGGGGGAAGGAGGGAAAGGCAGGCTCAGGGGACCCAGCTGGGTTCAACTTCTAGTGCCAGCCCTGGCTGTGTGCCTTGGACAACAGTGTCTGCACTCTCTAAGCCCCAGGCCCTTACTAGGGAATGGGGATGGAATCCCAGACCTCACGCATCACTGTGAGGACCCAACAAAACAACACATATAACCATCCG